ACTGAGTTTCAGGGAGTCTAACTGATTTGTCCAGGATGACACAATTGGAAAGAAACATTACATCATGCACAGCCTCTGCCTCAGTTAATTTTCCTCTTGTCTTAGAACCCATCTCTTGTTTCTGCTCAGCTAATGACTAGCCTGTGTCTGACACAGTCCGTCATCAAAGTGAAGAATAGTATTTGAGAAGTGCTGTTTGTGGCTTTTATGCTTAGAACATGGAAATGATAATTAAAGAAAATCGCTACCTCTCCCTGGTTATCTATCAGATGGCAGTATCTTAGCTGTAATAGATTGCACTCTGCTTTTAGCGAAAAGTAGAATGTGGAGATTAATTCCCATAAAACACAGTGTGTTAGATGAACACTGCACTGGAGTTATCATTTGTTCCATTAGAGCTTACCAAAATTAATCAACAAGACAAATTGGTGAAAAAGAAGTCACCTGGCAAAGAGGACCGGCAAGCAGTGTCCAGAGATGCTGTGGTGGCAGCCCTGCCATCCACTGGGACAGACCCACCTGACAAATTGTTTAATAAGACAGGTGGAGCAATTTGTGCTCATCATACAGTCAGGGCTGTGCAGAGTGTGGGGCAAGCTGTCCACCTCCAGCTGCTTGTGTTTAAATCCCAACTCTATTATCAGAGTGACCTTGGATTATTTTCTATCTCCTCTTTTCCTCCATAAAATGGGGATAGTGTTCTTTTCTATGTGTTTCTGTAGACTGTTATAAATGGTAAATGAAATCAAAGCCTGAAGCTTGGGCTCTAATTCCTACGAAATTCCTCAGGAGAGGGCTTTAGGGTCTTACCCATCTGAAATTGGCCAAAGGGGTAAAGTGGTCTGGTTTTGCTTGCTTGCTTATTTATTTATTTATGTCTTCTTTGAGCCAAGGTTCCACTGTATGGTTCAGGCTGGCCTTGAACTTTGTAGCCCAGCCTGGCCTCGAACGAGCAGAGATTCTCCTGCCTCAGCCTCACGAGTGCTTGAGATTAGAGGCATGTGCCACCATACCTGGCTTTGCACTTTTATTACAAAGGGAAAAATAACTTACTGAATTTCTTGCCTGGGATAAAAGTGTATTCTACATTCACTTATGTGTCCCTCCTCGTAGGGAGGCTAAATAACAAACGCAATTTAAACCTTAAAAGCCAGGTACGTTAGTAGACAAACAGAAGACTATGGCTAGAGAACAGATAGAGATGATTTTGCAGAACTGAAAATGTAATCTCTAGAGCACCTGGATATCCTAAGATGAGAATCTAAGCGTTCCAGCACACTTCGGCAATGTTCGTGCTTCTCTTTTGCAAACAGTCAGTGGACACATTCATGGGATCTCAAGAGTCAAAGCAACAGTCTCAGTGCCTCTTTGTGTGTATTTAAGGTGACATTTCCCAGCCCCTAGATCTTGAGTTTGGCCAGAGAGGTGTTCTGTGCAGTGACACGGGAGGCAGAAACAAAATCCCCTTTCAAGCATGGCCAGACTGCTCTCGTATACATCTTGTTCCCATTCCGTGGTGACCTTTGTCACACAGTAAGCATAGAAGATCACAGAGGAAAAGAACTCAGATCTATCGGTCACTGCTTAGAAGAGTGAACATCCTCCGGACAGTCATTAGGCTGTGATGTGAGCTAAACATAAGTGCTCAGTTGGTCAACCACTGAGAATAAGGAGTTACTGTATTACAGACAGCAGCTCGCGTCTGTTTCCCCAAATAATAAAAGATTTCACATTCTGGTACAAACTGAATTCAATCTCAAAATTATTGATAAGATTACAGGTGGCAATTTTGACACCATTTGAAGAGCTCTTTCTAGAAAATGGAGGGAAAAAAACACATCGGCTGACTTTTTGTCTTGCTAACTAGCGGGGCGGGGGGGAGGGGGTGGTGGTGGCAATCTCAAGCTGAATCCCAAATGTGCTGCCACCTACCTAAATATTAATAGTGCTGATTCTAGCTCTGTAAAATAATGACAAAATAACCTAACATGACCCAAATTCTGAAACTCTTTTCATTTCGTTACCCATGACTTACAATGTTGCTGGTAATACCGAAGGGCATGCCTCTGCTCTGAAACAAGTTGGTGTCAGGACTGTGGCTAGTGTGCTGGAAGTCTGCAGCCTGACTTTCAGTTAACAAGGACTTGGCCAATTAGTCATTTATTTAATAATATAGTATCACGAGGGCAGTGCCCATCCCTAAGACTGTAGTTTTAATTTGATGAAGTATTTATGAAACACCCCCATCAAATGCACATGTGAATGTAATCATCAAACTGCATTTGCAGTTTTAGGGAATCTCTTGGATCCCCTGGAACAGCAATGAATGCCCAAGAATCCATGCATCCTAAGTTATGAGTCCCTGGTAAGATGTGGACCTGACCTTTAGGGTCATCCACAAAGATGTAAGAGAATAAAAAAGGGGAGATGTTAGAGAGTTATACTATCCAAAAGCTACTGACAATAGTTTCCAGTTGTTGAGTTTTGGCTAGATGCTAGACACCTTGCTAAACTATGTACTATATTAATCTTTACAAAAGCTTTTGGTGTTGTAATTACCATGGTACAAACAAGGAAATGAACAAAGAGAAGATTCTTGCACTAGACTGCACAGTTAGTAAGCAGAAGAGCCTGAATCCAATCGAAGTCCTTGGTCCTAATTACAATGGAATATAGCACCTTAAAAATCAGATTTTCTAAAGCATTATTCTCAACGGTGAGACTTAGAAGCCAATATCTGACTCACACATTGTATAATGTTATCATACTGTATCCCATAAACAAGTGTAATGAAAATAAATAGAAAAATAAGCCAATGCTTTCTGTCCACCATTAAATATGCTTCATTAGAATTTAAGAATTTGGAGCCAGGGTTTTAGTTCAATGGCACAGGCACCTGCCTGGCAAATGTGAGGTCATGAGTTTGATTCCAGTACAAAAAAAAAGAATTTAAGATTTTGCTTTAAGTTATAACCAATAATTAATTTTGAGAAAGCATATATAGCACATACAGAGCAAAAATCACTGAAAACAAGTAACCAGATTTCAGGTTTGTATACAGCAACTACTTTATTATTTTCAAATGCAAACTCTTTGCATTTAGTTTGCTATTTTACAATTTTACAAACTAGGTATAAAAGACCATAAATAAATGACATAAGTTATGTGTACCTAAAGTTCATGAAGGAAAGAAAAATACCTTGAAGAATTAAAAACAAAATAGAAAATCTATGCCTAACGTAAAAGATCACTCAAATTTTGGAACATGTATGAACCAAGCAATGTTTTGCTAACTTCTTTTTCAGTATGAACTAAATTATAATATGCCTTATACATTCTAATTTTAAACAGTCCTTGCATATTCCAACATACTTGGAGTGATACAAAAAAATAAATGCACTCTTCAGTGTGTATCAACGCTTGATGTTGTTTGGACAATGTTAAAGAAGTGAAAATATTGCTTCTAGAACTCTCCTTTACTGGTCAGAAGTGTCTTTAGACAAATACTGAGGCTATACAAGTGTATGGATTAATACACATATCCTTCAGATTGAAGACCAAGTCTCACCACACACTTGATAGCAGTGCAGTGAGAACAACCTTTCTTCAGTGTAACTTTTTAAACACACCAGAACATTTCATTTATAAGATTGCCAAAAATAACTCGGAGCCTGCAGACACACAGTGAAGCTACTTGATTTGGTGCTAGGGAACAGCTTCATGCTGCTTAATAGAAGGTCTGAGCATGATTGTAGCATCCAAGCTCACTAAGTCTGTGCTCGCTCATGGGCTAGACACAGACCAGGAAGTTGGTCTCCTACCCTTACCTCTGGGACAGATGATCTGCTCAGAGATCCAATCTCATTTTTATACATATTTTTCAGGCATCAATGCATAGGCACATCCCTCTAAAAATATATTAAGGGCCCCAAAAAGGGGTGAATTAACTTTGTCACTCTGGCATAGCTATGAGAATACAATGCCACACACCCTGTCAGAATGCAATAAATATTTATTGACGATTTTTTTCTACTTACTCAACAATAATATGGTTCAGAATCTTTTTCTTCCACTTTTCCCTGATTTGATGTTATAGCTTATATAAACGGCCACAGTTCCTGTGGCGTAGGATAAGCAAGGTAGCCACTCAGATTGTGTAAAAGGGCAGTGTGTTGGCTGGAGTTTGGTATCATACCCTATCACCACTGAATCTTTACACCAGAACTCAAGATTCTTGAAGACTGATGCACCTTGAGGCAAGAGGAGCTAGCTGCACATCCTTTACTCTAGAATTTTCCATGCAATTTGGGAACCTGATATTGCTTGAGACCATTTGATCCCAATTGCAACTACACTAATCTCAAGAGTCACTGGCATGTATTTTTGTGTGACACTGGGAGACAAAGTATTAATCTGGACACATCATCTCAAAGCTGACACACATCTGCGTTCATCTCCAAAGTATACGAATTGCATATATTTGTTCGCATTCAACAAGTCCATTTATGCAGGGAACAAGGCTACTTGTACTCCATTTGCGATTACCAGACAGATTCCTTCCCCTTCCTCTCTCCAGCAAGGAACTTGTGAGCCAGATGAAATCAGTCCGTATTTCTGGTTTTGATGATGGGCTGTCACCTGAATGGGTTTATATTCTAAAGTTATTCCACCATAAAGGTGCAAATGCCTCTGTCTGAAGCTGTAGAATTACTCCTTAAGGTTAGCGTGGCAGCTAAAAAAACACACTTCCGGGACATTTCACATCTCCAAGTCCTTTCCAAGGGGACGAGCATGCTCTCCAAGCCCACTGTATCATATGGTTCTTATCTTGGAACTGGTAGGAAACCATAACATTTTAGATGTAGCATTCCACAACATTCACAGGCAGTCTGAAGCATGAGGTTACACACATACTCACACTCACACACACACCCAACTATGCACACGCAGGCACACACACACACCTATGTACACTCGTCAAAAGAGATAGTCAGCTCATATTTAGTCTAGGAAAAAATATATTTATATCACTGCAATGGCACACCCTGGGTAAAATGTTACTTCAGCAATGCATACCAAAGGCAGCTCATGAGAACTGGCTTTGTTCTGTGTGGCGGCACCCGAACTGGTGTCCATGGTAAAACCTGTGGCCCCGGGTCACTCGCTGCCACACTGACGCAGCAGCGGCATACAGGAGTGAGATATGGAAATACGTATAAATAAAACCACGAGGAATCTGGGAGCAAGGACTCTGCGGAGCTGGAGCTGGTGCCGTGAGACAGTACTTCCTCCACGCAATCGGAGAACAGACGCTGAGCTTGAATTCTGCTGACTTCCCTGGGAAATGGGGTCCTACAGTCACACATTTCTCCTCTTCAGGTAAAGGTGTTATTTCATCTGTGTCTTTGCCCCCAGTCAGTGTCACAGAAGCAGAAGAAACACGTTTGGAAGGAACTGAGGGGGGTGTGTTCTGTTTTCTTTAAAGGGCTTTGTAATCGACAGGAAGGGCTGTGAGCTGAGATAGCAGAATCGACTCCCTGCAGAGAAAAGAACAAGACTTTAGACACAACATAGGCCAGTACTAACAGCCTGTGACCCACCAACACTGGGAGAAAGAATACAGATTTATAGGAGGTAATGGGGCCCCATGAAGGTAGTTTAAGGAGATCCTGAATCCTGACTTTCTTCCTCTGAAAAAATAATAATCCACCAATTGTCACACATAATGACTGAATATCACAAACCAAGGAATAAAAAGACAGGCACTGATGTTTTCCTTGAAAATAAAGGCACTTCTAAAGAGCCAGATCATTTATTTAGTAAAAAGTCCATCTGCCCTGCAAGCTATCCGAGAAGAGAGAAGCTGGGGCCAGGGGCATGGTGACCATGAGGTGCTATTGGAAGTCTCAGACCTCCAGGCTCCTTCAGAACCCCAAGAATGCACCAACCACACTCTAGAATTCTAGACACTAGGCTAGAACCAGACAAAGCAAGCCCAAAGCACCATCATGGCTCTTCGTAATCCTTTAATTTGTCAAATCACCAATTCAAACTAACAGAAGAGCTTTTCCAGACACTGTGACAAGACTGCTCCGTGGACCACACTTCCTACTACAGAGACTGTGTTTAGCAGCTCTGCAGAATGTACTGCAGAAATTAAGACTAAAATGCACCTTTACGGATGACTGTGCTTATTTTGTCCAATCATTTGTTTGATGGATGTGCATGTCTATTGTGCAAAAAGGAATAAATAAATTTTCTTCTTTGAGTTACATGACCATGATTAAACACTGTAGTCTATCTGGAGAGGCAGGAGTAAAGTATTCTTACAAATGATTCATTCAGAAATCAGTTTTTAAAACTGAAAATTATAAACGTGGGTTAGGGTGTAGTTATCAATATCTTCAGAAGGTAATTGTTTTCTTCCTTTGCAGGGCAGTTTTATTTGTAATTTATGTGAAGAAAAAGTAGAACATGAGTTTGACCTTAAAGATCGGTAATTAGAGCGTGTGGGTAGGCACCATATATGATATATGATTTAGAGTATGTATAGATACTGGGGATTGAACCTACATCCTTGACACTGAGCTGTATTCCCAGCCAGTTCTTTCCATTATTTCTTAATTTGAAACAGGGACTTGCTAATTCCTTAAAGCGCCCAGGTTGGGTTTTAGCTTGGGATTTTCCTGCTTCAGCTTCTACATTCTGTGATTACAGGCATACCCAGCAGGTGAACTTTCATAAACAGAATCTGTCTTTTTCTACTAGAAATTCCACTCTTAGAGAAAACAATGGTCTCAAAGACATTTGTCTGTTTTCAATCTGCCAACCCCCTTCCTGACTTATTTACAATAATAAGTGAGGGTTTTGTGGAGTTGTCGTCTTTGTGGAAATGACTGGGTATCTGACATGTAGGACTTTCTATCTAGCTGGTGCTAGAATAAGAGGTGAGATAAATAAGCCTCTCTCCTTTGAATTCAGACAACTCCCTTACCTTTGGGAATTTCTTGAACAAAGACCAAACAGTCTGTGGTCATGTGTTGAGGGGAATTCATTGTTACTAAATAAACAAAGGGTGGCACTTTTGAAGCAGCCATAAAGACATCAAAATAGCTTCACCATCCAGTTCACTGCAATGGAGTTGTACTTACTCATTCTGCTGCCTTTTCAATTTTAAAATAGCAATTTCCTAAGTTTCTAGGGTAACCATGCATGTTAACCCTTTAGCAGTAATTTGATATGACTACCACTTTTGTATAGATAAACATTTAGCCCCACTGCCCATAAATGCATTTAAACCAAAGATCTTTATCTGAAGGCCTTCCACTATGGAAGAGTACTTTATCCCACACTCCAGCATGAGCAGGAAAGCATCCAGGGTCACTGGAATGACAGCAGACAGAGGACTGCCCTTTCTTCCAGGGAGCTCCCACAAGAGCACTCCCTGCACACATGCAGTACCATCATGTACCGGGAAGCACATTATTAGAAGGTATCATTATCTCTCATTTACGGGAGGAACTAAGTTCTGGAGAAAAGTGGGGGTGAATTTCTCAGGGCCAACATCTCAGGTGGTTTTAGAATCCATAGCTGTCCCGATGCCAGAGTCTGCTCCCACGCCCTGAGAGTGATGGGACATTCACGGGACATTCCTAGTGTTCTTGCGTCTCTTCTAAACTTCAGGGAGGTAGAAGCAATAGTAAATACTTCTACTGTGGCTGGTTATTATTTTAGGTTCTTGCAAAGATTTTTGATTTCCTGTTTTGTTTGTTTTGGTCCTTTCATTGACACCAACGGTTAAAATTAAGATTCAAATTGCAACCCTTCAATGACGTAAGAGTTCATTCATATTTTACCTTCTTTTCAGTCCTCGCTTACTTATTTCTTTACAGAGATGCTGGGATACTTTAGAATCAGCACATACTCTCTTTAGAAGAGTTCTGCTTTTAATATGGTGTGTTCAATGTTTAGAAAACTAAGAAGGCAAAACTCTAACTATTCAGTATCTGCAGGGGCAAGGTAGCAGTCTATTTTAATGTATCATTCTGTACATAAGCATCCTTATGGAATTAAAGGCTTTTTTAAATTAAAATACTCCACAGCTTTGTTGAAAAAAAAAAACATTTTCTAAAAGTAAACAAACAAACAAATCTAAAGAAAAACAAACAAAAAACAACCAAAACCCAAAAAGCTCCACCTATGTTTGTCAACTTTTAATAGAAAATTCTAGAACTCATAGACTTCAACAAAAGGGGTGATAAAACAAAAATTGTTGTAGCAGCTTTAAAAACAAATTTTACAATCCTTCCAAACAGAAAAGCTTTCTCAACTTAGGTTGAAAAAAAAAAGATTTCTCCTAACTGTCATGATTTGACAGCATCAAATTTAACATTCTTGGCATTAACAGAGCAAAGGATAAAACTGAGAGGGAACTAAAAGGCCAATAGAGATCAGCCAAACTGTTGTTTAAAAGTAATAAAAATAGGGGCTGGGGATTTAGCTCAGTGGCATAAGCGCCTGCATTATAAGCAGGCAGTCGTGAGTTCGATCCTGGTACCGATAAAAACGAAAAAAAAAGACAAAAAAAAAAAAAAAAGTAATAAAAATGGATTTTTAAAAAAATTTAAAATTCTCCCAGTGCAAAGTTGGGTCCCTTGCATCTAAGAACCAACAAAACCACCTGTTTTAGGAAGCAAGTCATAAAATAGAAGCATTTAAAGCTGCTAATGAACTGACAAATAAAAGCATTCATTCTCTAGTAGGTTACTCTCTGCTAAAAAGGAAGTCAGGGTGTCACATCTTCCACTGACAGCCTGGTAAATACTTCTTAGCTGTGCATGTTTGGGACAATGACTTCTGGAACAGGACAAAAATGAGACCAATGGAAAAGACGTCCCAGCATTTCTTCAATGATGCAAACTCTCCAAAGAAAGAAGTATGTGAGCTAACAGAGAAAAAGGTCCTTAACGTTACCATCAGGTATCATATGATACCACCTGTTGGTACCAAAGGACCAGAACTCTTTGTGAGGGAAGGTACAGCTAGAGATGCCCAGGAACCACCCTTCTGAGCTTGACCTCAGCTTGTATAGTTTGTTTTACTTCCTCCTAGAAGAACATCAGGGGAACCATACTGTTATTTGTTGTTCTTTTCTATTCTCAGGAAAGACCTGAACTCCTGAAAAAAAAAAAAAAAAAAAAAAAAAAAAAAAAAAAAAAAAAAAAAACCCTTAACACTACCTGGTAGACCTAAACAAATACTTGCTAGTCAGTGTTTCAAATGTGATCGTTTACACAGACACACACACGAGTTTTTGCTGGAGAAAATGTCATTGTTGATTCTTTCAGCTTACCTTATAGATCTAGGGTTGCTTCTTTAAAGGAGGGGAGTGTGAAAGTGTCCTATTCCAGATTGTCACAGCCCTTTATCCATAAGATAGTTATGATAAGTTTGCAGGGTCCACAAATAAGACTTTATATGGCACAGTCTCGGGCCCAAAGAAACAGACTTCCTTTGTCCAGTTCGGGGTTCTGGGGCTTGGCTTCTGTGTTGTTTTTAATCCTCTTTCCTGTTCTTTCCAGCCCCCTTATGTCAGCAGAATCCACCAGGTGCCGGGGACATCAAAGAAGCTAGACCCATGGGCTTTTCCACCATCTCTTCTTCCTTGCTGTGATCAGGTCCTAACAGCTACAACTGAGTCCTTCACAGCCGTTCCTGGGCAGGGTCTTCGCTCCAGTGAAGGGAAATGACTGTAATTTATGCCACAAACAAAACACTAGGGTTGTAATTCCAAACAGAAGAAGGATCAAGTATCCCCGAGAAGCTCAGTGTCTGCCAGCAAATACAGCATGGAAACTCAGAGGCGGAGTTCTATTTATATAGGTACATGTATTTTACAGACTGGCGATACTTAGGTACTTCCGGGAAACCGTTTGTTCCAGGTCTAATTCCAATGACCGGCTGTCATTTCTGTAAAGCCCCACAGATTCAGCGATCCGTACACCAAGCAATCCCGCAGATATTTTTCCTTTAATTTCAGAGGGCGGAGACGAAGTAAAAAAAGTGCAGTTCTTCAATTAAAGTGCATGGATGAGGTAAACTAATTTCAAGAGTTTTGAGTTTGTTCAGTACTGGCTCAGACAGGAACCATTCTGCCGTGCAGCTGCTGCACCTGGCTTCGCATTGCCTGGACGCTGCTCAAAATCTTATTCTGGTGTGTGATGGCCGTGATGCCAATTCTCGCCAGGTCACTGTGTGTGGAGTGACAAAGAAGAGGGAGACAAAAAGTCACGAGGACTGAGAATCTCTTTCTCTAGACTTAACACAGACACACACTTGAATCAGGCACAATTAACACAGCGCAAGACACGTGTGTTTAAATGTTTAATGCAACAATGTAGGTGCTTTCTCCAGGCTGTGTAAAAATGTACACAGTTAAAATGACAAGCATTCGAGTTTGGTATTTTAATGAGTAGGATGATTATGTAGCTCAAAGCAAAAAATAAAAAAAGGAAATACTATGAAATCTAGATTTACCCTTTCGTGTTACATCGCTGAGTACTTACTCCTGGTTCATGTGCACCACAGCCTCTAGTGTGGTATAACCAGCAGCTGTGAAGTTATCCTTATACCGGTCCATTTTAATGGCCTGCAGCCAGTCACCTACTGATACAACCGCAGAGAATTCAGGGGAGCTGGGATCCAACAAGGCAGTGTTAGGTCTAGAAGTGAAACAAGAAAGTGTAATCAGACAGGAGCTATCAGTGCTCCAGGAGGACCCAGAAGTCAGACTGCCTCACACAGGCGAGAGCGCATGAGCGCCAAGAGAACCTTCAAAACGGAGAACCCTTCCTCAGATATAATCGTATGACTTTTTGCCCTTAGTGTTACAAAGGTGGTAAATGTAGCTGAGACTTACTCTTACTTGTGCTTAATTCCACCTCTTGAACTTGTTTTATGTGGATTTCCTAAAGTACCGAAGCTCACAGCAAATCTTTTATCATCCTAGCTTGGGGTAAACAATCCCTTGTGACTGAAACCTGCCCAGTCTGTGCAGAAAGAGTTCAGCCCCTGCTAGGGCTAGGGCGCAATGTTACAGATGTGACTCTGGCAACTATGGAAACCTTAGTGAATATGAGGGAGGAAAAGCTCAAGACCTGCCGGGCTTAATGGAAGCAGAGAAAACACCAAGAGTTCAAGTCCAGCGTGGTTCCAGGCTGGTCGGCAGGCAGGCAGTCACGGGGCATTCAACCACCCAGGGACAGCGGGAGTTAATCCCTTCTTTAATCAAACCGTGCCTGAGCAGCACGTGTGCCAAGACGGGCAGAAAGAATGGCCACTTTGATCATTGTCCGGATTGTGGAATGTGCTTCTGGTATTCCTTCGCTGGGGCTCCTAAATAATGATTTCAACAAATTCAAAGACCTTCTTATTAACTTATTTATTACTCTACTCACTTCCCAAGCCAGGTGTTTTATATCAGGACACTGTCAAGAATGACTACAAGCAGAATTCTGCCATTTAATATCATATCAATAATAATAAATCACCTACTTTAAGGAAAGTATTTATTAAGAGAATTACAGTCATCTCTATCATCAAACTACTAAATAATAATAGGACAGATCTTCAGACTTATTTTACACCACCTTTATGGTGATTATCTACACAACAATATTGTTTGTTACTGTTACAAGTTCTTTCTTTATAGTAACAAAATTAGGTCAGTGTAGAGCCTTGTCTTCGAAGCAGAATTAATTCAACTCCATTGAAAATGTTTTATTTTTACTTAAATTATTTGATGTTCACTACTTCATCATATAAATATTGTAATGAAGATTTGTTTTATCAATCAACTTTATGTCCAATAGCCTGACTTTGTGACTTTTTGTACCTATTATTTCAAGTAGGGTTAATCATCAATAAAATTCTGCAGTTGTTTCTAGCAAGAATAACCAAGATTTAATTCCTCTCTTGAATTTGAGGTAATAATTAATGCATAAAATTCTAGATATTTAATTGAGTGGTGAATAGTTTTTGTTATTATACAAAGACACATTGGTTTGCATTTCTTCTAACTTCAAGCAAAGCCCATTAATAAGGCAAGGTATGGGCTCTAAGTGCCTCACAAGGTCAAAATGACCTCCAGATGAAAACATCTCTATGCGCTGTCATTAATTCCAAGGGTCAGTCACAAGCTTGGTCTGGAAGTCTTTGTGTTCTTTGTGGAACACCACGACGTTTGTCTAATTTTGTGCTGGAGCGTGTAACATGTTATGAGACACCCAATTATCTGCAATGGTAATAAGCACTCTACTGTCAGTGAGAAAAGTTTAGAAATAAGCAAAGTACATCCAATAATTCAATTTACTCTCTTCTTTGATGCAAAGCAGGTGTTACGTGGCATTAGCAGGTGAGTATCTTCTGTATTCTCCTACTTATGTGAGAAGCAACACCAAGAAACTGACCTCAGAACCTGCAGACACATAACTGTGGAACTGAGGAGCTAGAGGGCCGAGGAGGCTGACGTAACCCTAAATCTATTCTTTCTCCCCAGAACCTGGAAGCTAAGTTTTTACAAGAAAGATCGAAGGAGAATTCAGAGGGCTTGCAAGGATTGACAGGGCTTAAACATGGAAGAATAAAATATTCTTCTGCTTTTAACCCGGACAGTGATGAAAGGAGCAGGCTTTGCACAGCTGAGATTTGGAGATGAAGCGGTGTTAACTTGTCACTGGCCAGTTACTTGGTCCTACTGCCCTTGGCTTCTTAAATAATTTAGGTGAGTAAGGATGGTCCGCACCCTTTCAGATGGGTCTGCAGGCATTCTGAATATGACAGCAGTAAATCCAATTCTGCCTGGAGGAAAACTCCTAGTGAACGATGGCACAAACAGTATCCTTGTGTAGGAGCAGTGAACTCACTCCTTCACAGATGGTCCAATACCTTTTGTTTTAAACCCCCTTTCAAAAAAATTCATGAACTGCTTTTTGTAACTTGGTCAGTTTCTACTTTGACTCTGTGTCCTTCTAAGACACAAAAGAGAAATAAAACTGAAACATCATGAATCTCTTGCTACAACTGACACCTGGTAAGTTAACTTAGAAATGCGGTGTTTAAAAGACCTGCTCTTCCATCTTTATCATTATTATTTCATGTTCCCTTGTCTTTTCAAAAAGTAGCATCTACTGGTCTGAATGTTTTCCAGGAATATATTCAGCCTCTTCTTAAGTTTCAGGGTCAGCATTATAAAAAAAACACTTTCTTTTTCTTTTTAAATTTTCTTATTACCAAGAGGCTTGCCAGGCAGGAGGCTCTACAAAATGAGCACAGAGCTACTGTAAAAATACTCTGCTAATTGAGAAAGAAGTCACCTGGCTTGCAGAGATCTGTGAAGTGGCCTTTGGCACAAAAGGAAAAATTAAAGTGAGTCACCACCCGCCTGCCATCTCCAATGCATTGTTTCATACATCACTATTAAGCAAGCATGACAAACCTGGAGCTCTCTGTCCCTGTCCTCTTCAAGCTGTTGGGGTTGCGGATGAGTTTGTCCAACATGTTGACAATCTGCCCAAATTTAGGCCTATCGCTTCTCTCCTTCTGCCAGCAGTCCAGCATCAGCTGGTGGAGCGCAATGGGACAGTCCATGGGTGGGGGTAGCCGATAGCCTTCCTCGATGGCTTTAATCACCTGCAGAGACAACAGGAAGGCATGTTAAGCTGCCAAGCAGGCTACTGTTTAAAGTTCACCCTCCAGAAAGGCATGTTTCTCAGACACGAAGTTGCCAGCAAGCCGGAGCATGGGCACAGCTCCAAGCTCTTTCGCAAAAGCCAACGCTGGACCTGAGCATTGCTGGCAGCAGGAGAGGAAACCAGCTGTGGCTGTGAGATGTTCATGAAAGGCAGGTGATGCCAATCTGAAACTCTGAAGGGAAGATGCATTCCTATTCCAAAGTTGTCAGAACCAGGTTAGATCAACAACATGGTGTCAGAGTTTTGGCAACGCCTGCAGAGATCACACAGTCCTCCCCCAGCCCGTACCTATTCTGCAACTCGGCATCAGCACACCCACATGGTCCTAGCAAAAGGGACAATGCCCTAGTGCCAGAGATCCCTCCTGGGTCATTTACAGAAAAGGAATTCCCTTGGCATAATTCTAAGTCTGCATCCTCTTGCTCAGATGTCTGCTATTGGTCCACACCAGAGCCTATGTCCAGTTGCCTAGCCATTTTCCATTTTGGAAGGTGATGCCCTTAGACACCAATTTCCTATCTCTTTCTTGATCTCAATAGTCGGTTAAAAGAATAACAGAGTAATAGGTTTTTTTAGATTTGAATTTTAAAGAAGACCCTCACATATCTAAGGAAAGAAGTTAAAATGGTAGCGACAATTGTCTTGTCCAAGATCATCTGAGTGGCTTTCTTACTCAACAAGATGTAAATCTTTCAGGAGTCTTTTGCTACCTCTATTTTTTCTAAGCTGCCATTAAATTATTTCCTTATTGGCTTTTCTCTAAGTCCCACCTCTTTGGGGTATGTACTCTAGTAATGTAACACAGTGTGACTCATGCCACATTTAAAGAGGGAAATTATTCCAGAGTTTCTTGGCTACTCATAAGCTTTATCGATAAGCAACCCTGAGCATCCTGGACACTCATTTATTTGTGTGAAGGTTTAAAGTTTTATTTGTCTCAAATCAGCACTTTTGTTTTCCTACCAAAATAATTGCTGCTGGAGAAACAGTGGCTGTGGAAATGCCGGTGACCACATTGAACCCACTCAGCCTGCACAAAAGCTGGCTTTCAAGTGAGGTTAATTTAGCTGGATCCAGTTTCTGTCCACCAATCTGACTGTTGTCTTCTTAACCAGCAAACTGCTTCACTTTAACAATCACCTTTTAACTGATTAACCCCTTTGATCCTTTTTCTCCCATGTGTTTTGTGACATCTCGTTCTATTATCTACTTCTGCAAGCTAGAGTTGTCTGTGCTATCTCATTTTATTCTGGTTATTGTGGCAATTACACTAGGTCAATCTGATCCTTTGACTTTCTTCTCTTGTTCCCTCCTTCCGAGATACATGGTTATTGACATTAGACTTGATGAAAACATTTTATGTTGAATTGATGACAATGAAAGCAACACTGGGCTGGTGGCAGGGGAACTCAATTTGTTTTAACTTCCCAGACTGATTGATCATCTCAGAAACCCTCTATTTGCTATCTACCATCTTGAAAGATAGCTTGTAGACTAACAAAGCGAACTTTCTCAATTTACTACTGAATATTACAAGGGGAAAAAGAATTCAAACAAACAAAACATATTTGACATACTTTCTACAGTTACTTTCATGCAATGAATTCTACCCAGGAAGGTCACTCTCCAGATCCATCTCCTATTGATTCCTGCTCTACACAGAATCCAGCATAGAGAGACAAATATATATGAATGGCAGATCGATACTATTGGTGGGCAAAAATGCATTCAGATGATTTGCTTCATGGATAAAGCCAGAAACAGTCAATGGTTTAATATAATATAGAAACTGTCTAAGCTGCAGCTATGAAAATATTTAGAGCTGGAACACGGTTACCTTTATATATGGTGTGCTTGGGAACACTTAGTCATGTCTCTCATTTGAAATAAAGGAAAGGTAAGCATCAAATAATTACACCAATATATGCATGATTTGCTCATGGGGGTTTTTTTGTCTGTCTTTCTGAGGGTCTGTAACGTGCATCCAAATGAGGAGGTAAGATGCTACTTGAAGGCATAAGCACTGTATAATCCCATCGAATAAAATATCACAACACACCATTCGCTCCCATAATCTTTTCTCCAGCTTGTAACTACCTATCATTTAGGCCAGCTGCGCTGTTTCTCCTCATGTGGTTCTTCTTTTACGTATTACAGAAAACACAGTATCAGTACTACCTTTCCTTTTAATTTGGATATTCACAGTAGAGAATTCTTTTCGCCCCACTGGTGAGGAGTGCATCAGTTTCCCCACAGCTCCAAATATTCTTTTACTGACCAGGCTGCCTGCATTCTATTTAACTGCACCTGGTTCTTTGTGTGATTGCAAAGGCTTTGCAACTTCCTGTGCCCATGGGAGAGCAAGGCAGTACTGCACACTGAAGAGATTTAACAAGAAGTTTTTCTAAAATATATGCTCAGTTGATTAGCTGGACACTTGTAAACACTTTCTGATGATTATTTTCATTTTTAAATTTTATGTTTCAAAAAAAGGAGTCAGATTCCAACAACATAGGTGGCCACTGTATTTTGATGGGAGCTCCCAACCCCCTTATACCTAAGTAAAACTTTTCCAGAATGAGCCCAAATGTGGTCTAGGAAGACCCCTGATCTAGGGCTCTTTGTTTTGATTTTTCTTTTTTTGCTGGAGATGTTTGTAATTAAATTCTATTACTCTGGAATCTTATTAGTGTCATTATTGAATGCTTTTCTGAAATTGCAGGCATCGTGGATCCTCCCTTATGAACTAGTCCAGATGGTACATTTACAGGGATGTGCATAATTTACAAAGGGTCATTTAGTGAAGCTTTATTTTAGAGTCCTCAAGGGGCAAGCTCTAATTACAACTATGCCAACTTTAAAATATTCACTAATTTTCTGTCAATAAACCTTTTGTGTCAATTTTACCACATGTGGATTTTGTTTCTTGGTAATCTTTGCTGTATTTTGTTAAAATTCAAAAACATTAATTTTGCTTTAGTATGATACTAAAAGTTCACTGAACAGAAACATTATCCCATGTTGTTTGTGATCAGTATCTATTTGTCTGTCTCTCTTTCTCCCACATTATACCATGGAAGCTGTTAATTCTGATCCTTTTAACCAGAAGCCGTTGTTGGTCATAACCGGAACTAGATTACTAGATATATTACAAACCTTGAATTTATATCATTTCAACTCAAATGCTCAGTTTATCACACAAGGAAGCAGAACTTTCTGAATCTCAATGTAAAGCCATATATTTCAGAACTCCGAGACTCACATCTTGATTGGACATATCCCAGTAGGGTCTCTCTCCATACGACATCACTTCCCACATAACGATTCCATAGCTCCATACATCACTCGCTGATGTGAATTTACGATAGGCGATTGCTTCTGGCGCGGTCCACCGGATAGGAATCTTGCCACCCTGTAAGCATTTAAGCCATAAGTTATTCCCTAAGTATATTACTGATGTGCCACTTTCATTCTGAACGTAGTCACTACTTGCCAGGCAGGACAACAGCATTCTTGACATAGCTCTCCCCACAATAATCAGAGACTTGTTTATTTTAACTCGTCTTCCAGCTTGAGACAGTTCTCCTCATATGTTTTCTTTACTCATAGGAAGTGACTAAGTAATCTATTGTAATTATTTTGTAAAAAGCCAACCTATTATCTGAGCTCTGCTTAAGGCAATACTATAGAAGAAAAGGAAAACTCTGTCCAGCATGTATCAAAGGGTGTGTAGTTGAGGCTTGCTTTGTCTTCTTGGTGCACTGCTTTTTCTCCGCAGCACAAAGGTAATGCTAATACGGCTTCAAAAATAATGGATAAAGGAGGAAAAACACAAAAATTTTTGCTTACCACACCGTCCCAGCAGAATATAGTGAAAGAAATATACTCAATATGTCTAGAAGAAATACGTTAATGGGCCCTTAAAAGAATCCAGATAATACCAGATATTAGCTATATTACTGACAATGGCAGGATAGAGTTTTAGTTACTATTGAATTCTTTAAAATACTCACAAAAATGATAAATCAATAATATATTACCAAGGAAAAGTTAAAATTGCTGCTGCGTGTTTTTTAAACTTCTAGTGTCTCTTGCTTATCTTTATGTATAAAGTGCTTTTAATTTAGTTTCAGAATTTCTAGGGCTTTATCTGAGGAAATTAACTCAACTTGAATGCAGACCCTTGATCTGCCTATGCAGTCATGGTTTAAAATTTTCTTTAAGTTTCATTAAGGCTACCAAACACAACAACAGATTTCCTCGGAAACTGCTTTGATATACTGCAGTTTACTCTGAAAATCCATTGTAGGATACTTGCATGGCCTCTCTTCCTTAAATATTTGGATAAGGGTTTATCTATGTTAATGTATCATTTTAGAAGCCTTTCTCTTCTCTCTTTATTGAGGAAAAAAAATAAAAGATCTTTAACTGCCACAAAGAGGTACTCTTTATTAAATGAATGAATTCGGAATTCAAAAGAGGATGTGTATAAGAATCAAAACTGGAGCCAAAGAAATTGAATATTAGACCAAGAACCTAAATAACTAACCACCAATCAAACAACCAAAAATTCTCTTGGTGTTTGCAATTGCAGCTGTAAAACGTTGAGAGCTGATGGAGGAAAACGGCTGGTAACTGTCTACTTCGGGGATTTTAACAGTGTCAGCCTTAGTAGCCAATAACTGTTTTATGATTCTGTGTTTATTTCATTAGTGTTTTATTTTCAGATTGTCAGGTTAAGATAGCAAGCAGTGCCGTTAACTGTATACTGAACATCTTTAGCTGTGCCTTGATCCACACTTAGCTGCCAGCAGTAAACTGGAGGCCATGAGATAATGAAAAGCCTTGCAGAGTAACTGTTGTATAAATCCTATGTATACAATCTCAGATTCAGTAGCCAAACAAGCAAAAATACTGCTCAATCTTGTTTCGAAAAAGAATTAAACATAAAAATAAGAAAGACTCAAATAGAAAAGCTCAAACAAGAAAGGAAAGGAAGAAGAAAAAGAAGAGAAAAAAAGAAGTAAAAGTAGTATAAATTCTGTTACTCCTGATTTTCATAGTAGCTGATCATCTGTTTTCTGTAAATTACCTTTTAAATTCTTTCTCATTTGGTTAAATTTTAAAGACACCCTCTTATTACTTGTTAAAATACTTTGCCCTAGAGATCTTGGAGAAAGAGTTTATTTTGGTTGTAGTTTGCAGCTCTGTAAAATGGTCATACCATTAATCTGCTTCAAAATTCCTTCTTCAGAAACATGGTTTAAAAATGATATAGGACAAGAAGAAGTTTTGGAGGACGAGGAAACAAACTAAAATGAAACACAAAGACCTGAACATCAAGGTGAAAAGACAGGGCCAGTGTGATGAGAGGGAAAGCCAGGCGGCACATTGTGCTCACCCTAGTGGTATAAGCTGCTTCCGGGTCATCCTCTAGCACTCGTGACATGCCGAAATCAGACACTTTGCAGACCAAGTTGCTGTTTACCAGGATGTTCCGTGCAGCCAGGTCACGATGTACATAGCTCATGTCAGATAGGTACTTCATTCCAGAACCGATACCACGGAGCATGCCCACTAGCTGGATGATTGTGAATCGACCATCATTCTTCTAATAGGAAGGCAATGGAGAGAAATCCTATTAGGGTTAGGCCAGATTAATTATCACTCTGCATTTATTACTGCGTCTTTTTTTGATAACTGTATCCGGTATGCAATGAAACTCAACACTATTTCCGGGCTGTTCTCACCAAAGTCACTAATTCACTCAAGAGTGTACTGCAGGGGCAGGGTTTGCTTCCTGTGACAGATGGAAATTATCCAAGTGTAATGAATCCATGGCTCAAACAGCTTCACGATGTAAGAATAAATCAAATACTTTCCTCATTGCCCATGGATTATTTAATAGCCTTAAAAACCACATCACTTTCTATTCCTTCTCTTCTTCCTTTGTGGTATTCTGAAAGTCCATGAGAACAACGAAATAGAACAGATGAAGATTCTGTTCAAAGTTTTCTAGATATCTTGGGTTTAATATAAAGTAGATACATACCCGGAGGAACGCATCCAAAGAGCCATTCTCCATGTACTCTGTAATGATCATTACTGGTTTACCTAGAGTTTTCAGAAAGAAAAACAAAAACCCTTGATGAGCAGTGCAGTTAATGAGATAAAAATGGGCTGTGCACAATTTTACTGCCAAGACACCTGTCTTGTGTGATCTAATTTAATTAAAACAAGCCAAGCTTATGCCTCAGCTGTGGGGAGCAAGGGATGAAATATTAAAAGGACGAGTAGGCTTGAATTCCATCTGGAAGGTTAACCCTTTGGGTGGCTCGTTGACAAGGTCTTTAACTAAAGTGGCCTCTGGTGTCCAGAGAGCACATGAATGGATAATTGCTCTCTCAAGCAAAAGAGGGGACCGATAATGGGCAGGCCTGTTTAAATCTGAAAAAAAATCTTTAGGATAATTAATTTATTTTGTCCCCAGAAGAGCCACTTGTGTGATGCTAAAGAAGTCAATGGACAGAGGAAACCTTTTTTCTTTACTTAGGGAAACCCAAGTTCCAAGAGGCAGGAATGGTGTTGGCTGTTTCGTGATTTGGACGCATCTTCAAAGCCTAACCGTGCATAACATACACATCTTTTCTATTGTCTTGCTGTGCTCAGAGGCTTTAGCCTTTCTCTTCCTTTGTCCTATCTATAAATAAACTTGTTCCATTTCCTTCCTTAAACTACCCACCTTGAAAAACAAAACCAGAGCAGAAAATGCTCAGTAAATTATTTCATCTAAGATAGGAATTTAAATTCGGTACTAGAACATTCTCAGGACATTCTCCCTACTTTAGCAAAAAAAATCAAAATGATTTCCTACTCCAGGTGCAGTTGGGAGGCTAAGCCACCCCCCTTATGCCTCCTTAGCTCTCTTTCTGAGGACCTTAGGAAATCAGAATTATTCTTTAGTTTCTTAATCACTGCCAATGCACGCAAGGTCTGGACTCCTTTCTTTCTAAGGAGTATTGTTGGAGGGTAGAGGGTAGTAATCTGCTTCTTACTGAAAGGAAGGTAAAGGAGTCAAGAGTTCATAAAAGATTTCCTTGGATAAAAATGAAACATCAGTTTAATAAATCAAAACTACTCATTTCTGTTGCTGGGCTGCTTTGGGCTTAAGTCATTCAGTCTGGGAAGAAAATGGGCTGGGACATTTCTTTCCTGAAAAGCACCCATTATTTCTCCAAACTAATATATTTTCCACCCAGAGATGCTGTTGGCTAGTAACTTCTGGAGTGGGGAAGAGGGAAAATATCTTTACTTGCCAGGCAAAAGTATTGAAGGGCAGGAGGATTTAACTCCAATGAAATCTCTGTGTGTGTGTGTGTGTGTGTGTGTGTGTGTGTGTGTGTGTGTGTGTGTGTGTGTGTGTGTGTGTGTGTTGAGGGGGAGGGGATCAGAAATCATTCAGAAGCAAACATTTTGAATTAGAAGACAATAACTTGGAGTGCATATTTACTTTAGGAAATAAAGATCACACACCAAAAAAGGCATCTTGGTGCACCCTAAAGGACAGATTAAACTTGCTCCAGGCTTCTCCTTTGCTGATGGGGTGGGTGGGATCCTGGGGCCTCTTTATCCATACATTTGCATTCCAGTCTTTGGACAGATTGAATGCATCTAAGTGAGTTTTAATTAACCTGCCTTAATCAAAAGATACTTAGTCAACTAATGAAGAAAGGCTGAGTCTCCTGGCCATGCATTAAGCATTAACACCAATTACCGTTTCACTAGAGCCCTCTGCAGCTTTGGAGAAAAGTAGAAGACCCAAAAGAAAGGGAAGAGGGAGAAGAATTTATGTTCCTCCTGCCAATTTAGAAAGTTATCCAAGTAACTGCTGGTAAAGAATTCACACGCTTCCTTTCTACCCTTTCACCCTTATACCTCCCTAGTCTGACGCTTGGCGCCATCCTCACAGTTTTTCTACATTCTTCCTTCTGTTATTAAAAGTATCCATTTGTCAGGATCTTTACGAGCTCTACAAGAGAAACAAAGATGAATGCCTTCATCAGCAGAAGGGCTTGTAAAACGGGCCCAGGCCATGCTCAGGATGCAGGTGGCTCTATCCCCGCAACAGGCGGGATGCAGGGGGGAGAGGAGGAGGGGGACAGGGGCGGCATCTCTGGTGGAAATTTTAAATCATTTTAATTCAGTGACAACTGCATTATGCAAATGCATCCAGTCGTTTATAACAGATACAGCTGTAATAGTGATGCCTTTTAGAGGCGCAGTGGGACTTTAATACAAAGATTCCCTGTTTCTTCTCTTTTCTGCCAAGATGCTATGAAAATCACTGTCTGCGGCAGGCAGGAAAAACACCCCAAGATGAACAGAGCTTCTTCTTTTAGAAAATGGACGTGGGGAAGTATTTAAATGGAATGATATCTTTTAATGAGAGGAGTGAGGGGTTCCAAGCAACCCTGAAGGCCACAGGCAGCAGAAGAATATCCTGATTGTACAACTAATCTTAAAAAGCCAATAGAGCCATTGTATGCTAATTATAGCCCTCGCCTTTGGTGGAAAATTATATATCCTTGGCGCTAAGTTTTGTTTGAAGGATTGTGGAGACGAGGAAAGATGTGCTTCTTCAGATAAAACAATACTTCTTCAGATAAAACAATACATGAGTTTTTTTGTTAAGTCTGTCATATGCTAACCACTCTAAATATTTCCTTTTCTCCCTAACTAAACTTGTAAGGCAAATTCTATTTTTATCTCCATTTTCCAGATGAAAAAACTGAAACAGAAAGACTGAACTCCCAGCCAGCATCATCTGTTCTACTAGAAGTACACAGCTGTCTTTGATCACCAGCCAATGGTTTCCAAAGTGGGGACCCTGAACTGCAGCACTGACTTCACTTGGGGTGAGCTCTCGGGAAATGCAAACTCAGGGGTCCTACCTCACCTACAGATGGAAACTTAGAGGGGTGGGTTTTCAACAGAAGCTGTCTCAAATTTGTCGGGGAATTCTTGACGGACTGAGGACCTCTGAACTAGTTTGCACTTTCACTGTTCAGTTACCACCTCTGTTTCTTCTTGGTAAAGATTTTGTGCCTTCTATTCCACTACCACACACACTGTATCACTTTAACCCTCCCCAGCTCCGCCCTGCACTTCACCCCCAGAGGCAGCTTGTTCCCTCCACTTTGCACCTGTGAATCCACCTGGTATCAAATAAGAGCAGTCTGGACCTTCCCAAAGACACAGCCCGAAGCCTACAAGATCCTTGACTCCTATAGAACCCTAGTCGGTCCCACGGCACCTGAAACAGCACTGCCTTACATAGTCACCGCTCCAGTTGGACTGTCCATGCGGCACAGCGTAAGGCTGTCCTAGCCAGCCTTCCAGATATACTTGGAGTTTGCTTCGTGTCTGTTGCGCTGTGTTGTATTTTAACTGAAGCACAGTTCACAGGCTCAGTGAATGCTAATGGACTAAAAAAGGAAAGTTCGGCCAGGTGTTACCATCACTAGGCACGGAATGGCTCCAGCTATAAATCAGACAGAGCAGACAAGCAAATCCCCTCCAATATAATAAAGATTCTCAAATTCACTCCCTGCATCTGGAACCAAAGCTTCCGCCCAAGGTGTGTTGAGGTTTTGTTGCGCTTTATATGAAAAATACTTAAAATTTACTTTGTTCACCATCTGCTTGTGCCTACATTGTGACAGTCAGTTTGGCCTGGCAGAGATTTGAAAGATGGCATTGCGTACCAAAAATTTGCAATATTAATTTCCCTGAAATCTCATGCAAGCTGCCTTGGCGATAGGGTAACTGTAGACACACTTAGCACTGACTACAAGATTAATGACTTGTCCTACACTGAATTCTCCGTATTAGCAACCAGTGGGTATACTCCATCTGTCACTTCCCTGTAAAGAAAACGTGTGCTTAATTTCCCAGTAATTTCTAGGTTGGCCTGGTAAAGGGAGCGACCCCACATACATTTGGTGACGACGCCTTCCAAGTGAATTATGTTTGGGTGATCAAACTGTCCCATGATGCTGGCCTCACTCAGGAAGTCTCTCCTCTGCTTGTCTGTATAACCAGCTTTCAGGGTCTTGATGGCAACACAGATCTCTCTCTTGCCAGGCACTTTGAGACGCCCACTGCAGACTTCACCAAATTCACCTTTAGGAGAGAAAAGGGATCTATAATGAATCAGAAACTCAAGACTGAAGGGTTTTACAACAAACTCAAAATTTGCAAAAGGTCTTTATTGTGCATATTTTATACTGCAAATAAGGAACTCTCATTACACAATATTTATATATATACATGTACATATGTATACATACACTTACATAGTTTACATACATACATTTAAATCCACCAAGATAGCTAATTTCTAAGACAGACACTCAGCCACTTACCAACTCCTATGACTTTTTCAATCTTAATGCAGGATGCATCAATTTCCTTGGCAAATTCTCGAACTGCTTGGTTAGGATCTTCATATGTAAAGGGATCCACATAAGTTCTGACACCTAAGTAATGAAGATGGAATAGGTTGGGCAAACTCTTCTCAGGAACCACTAATTAACATATGTAATCCAGGCCTAAAGAATTCTTAACAGGAAAACTGAGCTAGCTGCATAGCTTTAGTCTAAAGGAATTTTCCCAACTCACCCTTGTCTTTAATTTCACTTTAAACCATCTTAAACCATTTGTTTGACGTGATATATCTGAAGTACATTACATGGATAATTACCTAGGTAATAATGGCCCTGTTATTACTGAGATACTTCTAGAAAACAAGACATGCTCTATAAAGAAAATCATTTTTAATGCATTTGGTACCTTGATTCAAATGCTTTTCTTCATCTGCTTCTTGTTTTGCTTTACTATATTTACTCCGTCTATTAAAAAAATATAAATAGAAAATTACTTCCCTCCAACACAAAGCTGCAGCAAAAGTCATATATGAGTTCTTTGTTACCATAATTATGTCGAGCAGATAGTGTGCAGATTTCAGATGAGAAGTCTGCAGCTCACAGAGGTGAAATAACAAGGTAAATATATTTCTCACCTGCATATCAAGTCATAGCCTTCAGCCCTACCAGAGCCTAGAATCTCTCCTCTTAACCACGATTTTCAACATACAACAAAGATTTTATAATATAATTTCAAATCCGAAGAGGAAACATCTTAGTAAAGATAAAATTATTAGCTATTTTTCCAAATAACACACACCTGCACATATTATATATGTACTCTAACTTAAAATTAAAGTAACCTGTCATAGGTAGTTCTGCATAGATCAATATATGATAATGTTAAGTCTTGTTATTATACCTACAATAACCATACCCAAAACACTCATTATCCTGTTAAGACTCTTCAAGCAGTGTTTTTATTGATTTCAGCTGCTCCACATACATTTCTATATTATTAATAAAAATCTGGATATTCCTTAAGATTTCAGAGAAGACTATGAGTGAAAATGGGAAGGTTTTGTTTGCTTTGTCCGGTTCTCTTCTGTGAAACTAGTGTATGGTCTCAACATCTGCATTTTCCTCCTATGTCCTACTGAAGTGAATTCTGGTTTTGTCATAGTCTTGGGAATCAGAAAATCCTTAGTATCTGTAAATCTTGAATCAAGAATACACAAATACATGCATTAATTACTTGAACTGGAAAATCAACTCAAGACGGGAATTTAATTTTATTTTTTGCAGCTCTGCGAATTGATCTTAGGATCTTGTGAATGCTAGGCAAACACTGTACCACTGAGCATTTAAATAAACATATAAATTTGGAATCAGAAGAATATTACAAAGGACTTGGGAAATAAACTCAGTTGACATAGCTTTCTAAAGTTTGAGAAGCCAAAACCAAATTAGCGAATGAAATCTGTTTACTTATGGCTGTCAAAATGCAAAATTTACTTTCGAATTTAGACTGATCTTGTATCTTTCTTTTAGTTTTAAAAGATGAGGTCAATCAATCCTCTTAGGGGTGAGGGACCTGAGGCTCTGAGGTGAGAAACTGCATCTTGGCAGTGTGGTGCTATCACAGTCTCATGTCCTCCTTCCTAAATTCTGAACGGACGGAGAAGCAGAAAGCAATGAGCAGAGGACCCAGGAAGCCAGGCAGCCCGACTCTGAGCATCTGTGTGAGGCTCCCTCCCATATTCTTCTCCCAAGAGCCAGCATCGCAGGAACCAAGTCAGCAATCAGAACCTCCAGGCCTACAGATGTTCTTGTGTGTGGATATTTCCCTGACAAATAATAATACCTTGCACTTTCACACTGCATTTAACTTTTCAAAGTGCTCTCATCACATATATTATCTCCTCCTCTAACTGTTTGCCAAGCATGAACCAGTTTAGCAAAACAGAGACCCCAGTTACTATGCTTAACTACAAGGTGCAGATTTCAGTCTCAAATAATAGCTTGTGTTTGCCTTTTTGTTTAAATTCTCAAAGGGTTTTTGGAGGGTCTATGAAAGAAATCGGGTGGAAAGGCACATACTCAGCTCCACAGTACACGGGAGAGGACCCAAGGCCAGGTAGCAAGTGAGTGACCTATGTCCCCTCTCAGCAAGTGCAAAATTGATGGGTCCCCTGCTCTGGCTAGAACTGTACAGCACCTGTCCTACTGGAGATGTAGGTAGGGGTAATGGAGAAGGTTAATGTAAGTGACAGGGCATTTTGATACCAGTAAACCCACTTACATTCAACTGCTTTTAAAATCAACTGCTCCGTCCAAGACACTAAACAGCCTTAGATGCCCTAAAATGATTTTATAGGAAAGTTATCACCAACCCACTTCTTCCATCCCCCCCTTTATAGGAATTACAAGCATATTAGGTCAGAGGCTATTAAAACAACATTTTATATCAAGAAAACATCATGAGTAGCTCCCCAGGGTGTGATAGAACCTTGCCAGCCACAGGGATTATGTCTTATCAGAGCTCCTAAAGGCTTTATCTAAAATTAAATGTATATCTTTCAAATCACTCTTGATCTTGAATACAGATTTGAAGCTCTGCCCTACAAATAAATAAACAAATAAATAAAATGAGAGAGCTTTGGTGGCATCACCTACCCTTCAACTCCTTCCTGCAGCCTTAGGGCCCAAACCCAGATCCTGGGGCATGCCAACTAAAGGGCTCTACGACTCAGTCACACAGCCCAGCTCATGGCAGCCACTTTGAAATGTCAGTGAATTAGTAAAAGACCTGTATAGACATACAGCCCAGTAGCCTCGAGCTACCCAGAAGGGTGGCTTTCTGTTCCACATCAAACATATTCATTAAATATGGCCAAAGCCAGAGGAAACACAGAAGAGCAAGGGTCATTAATTACAAAGCTGACCCACCCATCCCTTCCCCGTCCTTCCAAACACAGAAAGAGGACTTAAATGAGCAGTGAAGGCGTGTTTTTAAAGACATTTCCTTGCTTGGAGAGTTATTTGGAGGAAAATGCCTTACAAGGGTGCAGGGGATGTTGAAAAAGAAACACAGTATTACCACTCAAAGGCAAATTGTAGCCTATTAGTTCTTTAATAATACCTTGAAAGCAGAAATGCCTGCATTCCACTCTACCCCTGTCACCTGATGACCTTTTCTCCAGGGCTCAGCGTAGGACAATGTGGCTCATTATTGCCCCCCAAAAGAAGACCCATTGAAGCTCATTCCTGGGCCGGGCAGTCTAGAGGAACCACAGAGATTACAGAAGAGCTAGCTCTAAATTGACACGCCAGGCGGATCACCTGAATGACAGAAGAGAAGCTTTGTGGAAGACTTTCTAATTATGGAGAGGTGGACAAGCCGGTTAGAGAGGGGAAGGAGTGGTGTGGCTTGTTAGTGAGTGGTGCAGAAGGAAGCACGGTCCCTTCCAACAGCAGGAGTGAGGAAAAGGCCAGCTCGGCAGGTGAAGCGGAGAAGAGTGAGGGGCGCCCGCCCCTACAGTGAAAAGGACTCAGAAAGTAATAAGTGTATTCACACAGAGCTGTCCCAGGCCAATGTGCGGCTCCCAGCACGCTCACTATTCAATAAAATAAACAAAATAGAGAATGTGACTGTGACACAGCCCCTGCCCAAACCCTGCTCTTATCAAAATAACTAACTTCTCCCATCAGGTGGATAGCTTTGATGGATGTGGTTCGCTGTTCCAAAACTAATTAGCCAAAGGTAAGTAACTTATTCAGCTAAAGTGCAGATTAAAGAAGACAAAGCAACATCATAATGAGCACAGCTTGAGGACGGAGCCTTTCCTGTGCTCCAAGGGTCACTCACAAAGAGTCACCGAATCCATCCTTCTTCTTTCTCCTCTACCGAGCTGCAATTGCTCTTGTACCAAACCATGCCTTAAAAGACTTCTTCGCGAGCAACATGTTGAAATGGTTGCAAACTGAAATTTCCTACTGCACACAAGTTGTTTAGAAATGTTCCAAGGTTACCATCTGCCCCCTAACTGTGTGCATTTACATGACTTTATCAGGGCCAATTTAGGCTGACATTCTTATGTGATCATAATAATGCAGGAAAGAAAATTAGGGCATAAGGGAAGATAGATACAGGCTGAGCAGAACTGTTTCAGCACTAAGTGAGCTGTTAACTCCAAAGTAGACAAAACTAACTTGCTAACTAACTTTAGACTGTGTTAGACTTGCACATCATCACGGATTACAAGTCTCCAATTATATGTTTGTCAAAGCCATTTTGATTTTTCATAAAAAACATTTCTTTTTCTTCAATTCAGGTAAAAGGAGTACTTTGTTTATAACTCTACCAAAAGTGGAAATATGTCTAGCAGTCATTAAGTCAGCATAAAAGCAGCTTAGTTATCAGTTAACAGTGCCACAAAAAAACAAGCTGTACTGAAAAACAAACAAGCCAAAGTCAGAGAGACTCTTCTTGCATTCTGGTCATTTCTTAAAATTGTTTATCAACCTGAACTGTAAAATATTATGGGGAGAACAGACTGGCCAAAACCAATCTGGATTAATTCTGATTTGGATACTTCAAGGGCAAATCATTAATACAAAAAGAGGAGGGGCAGTTGTCAGAGAAATAAACCAGAGCCAGTCACTAGTCCTGAAGACTGTGACTTCATAATTGTACTCTGTGATGTCACTGGTAACAGGCCTTTTAGGAATATTTATAAAAGCAGTGAAGAAAGAGGTTACATCATGGAGAACAAAGATACACACATATATAAATAGGAAACCAAAATGGTGTCTGTGGCTTGGAATACAATTTCCAGTAACAGAGACTACCTACACAACCAGAACCACAGTGTGCTCTGGAAGGCTGGTACCATCTAGAAATGATAACTTGAATTATGAAGACAGGCACAGATAATGACATCTACACAATATGTCAATTAATCTGCTTGACATAATGTGGGTGGTAAAAAATACAATACATTTAAATCAATGAAGTGGATAATCTCCTTTTAAATACACGAATTCAATTCTTTCACCTGAAATCTCTCTAAATGTTTACTCATTTAAAATGATCATCCAAAATGAATCATTTTTTAAAAAAAGGAGATTATTCTGGCTTGCTTTAAGCTCAGGATTTTCAGGACAAATAGAATACAATGAAAATAAATAAACCAGCTGCTATTTAAAAATTCAAGATACTGACTGTCAGCCTGAGGCTGCTTCTCCTTAGATAGCAATTAGCAGCAAACAGAGTTTCTCTTCGGGGTCACTGGAAGAACCAACACTATCTGAAGGCTTACAAATTCTTGAATGTTACAGGCCAACAGCAGTGTGGGACTCAGCTTAAGGGGTAAGGGACCGGCTTCTTGCATCCTTTCTGGCATCAATCCCGTGTGCCTCCAAGAAGCAGGAAGCAGTCCTGCTGGGCAAGGCCGTGACACAGATTTTACAGCCCTGGGTGTTCAATCTGCTGGCTGAAGCCTGGCAAATTATTTCAGGGTACCATTTACTACTTTTCATTTGTACTCTCACTAAAAGCCTGGCCGACTTTTGTCCCTAGTACCTGTCTCCTTTCTGTTCACCTGTTCATGCCCCACTTAAACATTTCTAGTTCGAGATAACAGCGCAGACAACCTGCGTGGGGAGAAGAATTGGCTGAGTGTGCATCAGCTGCCGCACGCCTGTCAGCTACCTGGCTCCAGCCAGCCCTTCCCGTGACAGCTTTATGGCTGGCACTAAAGAAGAATCAATATGAGGGCAAGGGGTTGACATTTCATTTTCTAAAAAGTGATCCATTGAGGACCAATCACCAAGCTGTGTTTATCAGCCTTGGGAAGTGACATTTTTTTTTAAATGGCGGAGAAGGGACAGGAATCATCACTGGGTAACTCGACAGTCTCGATTCTCTAAGGGGAGAACTCATAATTGGAAATCCGATGCATCCTGCTATCAATCCTACCTTATATAATAATGTGATCAATAAAAGCAGAAAGGGAATTAAGTCATCAGGCGTGAGGATGCTATTCTCGGTAGCCTTGGCTTTTAATAATCTTGTCTCTCTGCATTATGCTTTCATGTTTTTTTTAAAAGAAATTTTTCATCAAAGCCAATGTTTTAAGCAGAACAACCAGAAGAAACTTACAATGAGGTGACTTATTCCTAATTACTACAGCTTGACTGCTTTACTGAAGGCTGCTTAAAATGAAAACTAGAAAAAAAAAAATTAAGATAAGCTGGACCACAACCACAGAATGCTTCCTACCAACATCAAGGAAATGGACTGGACCCAGGATAGACTCTCGGCTCTGCTGCTGAGCTTCCCATGGTGCTGGGTTTCAGTTACTTTTTGTGAGGTGGAGGTAATGAATAATTTCTTTCCTATTTTTTTTGTATCTTTAAATGTCTTTATTTTCTAAGAAAGACTGTGGTAATATATGATAAAAACTTCAACTACAGAAATACATACTAACAAAAAGCAAAGACCCCTGTGATTTCTAGACATACCCCACTGGGTTCTCCACTCCCCGCGATCAGATGGATATGCAGCCAGGCATTCAGTTCCCACGTGTTGCATGTGTGACACATGTGCATACACAAAACCAAAAGGCCATGGACAAGAAAAAAGCTCATCTTGACTGACTTCCAAATTTTAACTTCCTGGAGCTGAAACTCACTGCTCTAATCAAGTACACCTACATATAGACTCTACACCAAGATGGATGAACTCAATGACAAATATAGCCATGTGCAGAAGAAGGCATTGTTCCATACTGTGTTGTTATTAGCGTGAACAAATCAATATCTATATACCAGAACACTTTGGAGAGTGAGGACGGGTGCAGGAGGTAGGAGAAAAGATGTGACAATTTAAGCCACACAGTCAAACTAGGATCTACAGCCCCCATCCTAATTATAGTTACATCAGTGTGAAGTAAAAGCATAGTGGCGTGGCCAGGCAGTGGGAATAGCCAGAGGCACTGTTGGAACTTTGGTGAGATCATTTGCAGGAAGAGAGGACAGCAGAACAGACCTGGCCTGAAGAAAAGCACAGGTATCGGGACACTATTAATTTTACCTGCCAGTATGGCCGTGCAACTGTCCTGGACAATCACTACGTCACTCTATCATTTTCCCCATCTATGTCATGGGACACTTTACATGTAAGAAGATCAACTGAACAACAGCAGACCTACTTGGAGAAACTGTTGGCTGTATGTGGAGGTAAAGGTCACAAAGGGGCAGGTCCTCATATAAATGATACAAAGAGGAGCCTGATTTGGGGTGCATATTGAAACCCAGCATTTGGATGGTGTGAAAAATAGATGGAAACAATCAAGCCACCACAATTACTCCTTCTTAGATTGTCTTTCAAGTATCAAGTAGGATTGTAGTACTCATAAAATAAATAATCCGAGTTCATTTCCAAGGGCACTATCATGCCCACGTGACCAGTGGATCGTCTCTAGGGACACTGATAGCCTTTCTAGTGGTAAGATAGAGAGCTTAGCACATCCTCCTTTGTTTTACTTGCCAGGGTTGTTAATCAGTAATAGGTTGAAGCACCTAGCATATGCTTTAGTATCTCTTTGATGCCTCTCAAAATTCTTCTGCCAATAACTTTTCCAGGCAGATAATGATCATCTGCATGTCTAAGAGAAATGAAAAATGGAAAAGCCTAGTATCTGGGCTGTTGGTTTACATGGGCCTTACCCTGAGCAGTCAATCCAGACTTAACAGGTGGATATATATAATGCCTTATAACTGAAAGTGTTTAGAAACCACCTGTTGGCTGGCTTTTGCATGGCTTCCTAGAATTAGCTGGATCTTCCTGGGACTCTTGGCACTCTGTCAGCTCCAGTAGGGATGCGGGAAGATCAAAGAAACAAGAGGGAGCTTGGCATGCAAACACCACGTTTATGACACTAATCCAAAGCCTCTGTTTTGCATGCAGAAAGAAGACAGAGAGCTCCCTCATAAAAGAGGGAAGGCGGCTGGTGGGGGGGGATGATGAGTGGCTGCAGTGCTTACCTTCTGCTGATGACAAAAGCTGCAATAAGAATGACCACCAGCACCACGCTGCCCGACACAGACACCAGGAGGACGGTGGAGTTGGCCCCATCTCCGATGATCCTGGAAGGCACTGGAAGGACAGTTGCACTGTGGTTAGCCGGAGTGGACAGCCTAAAAGGTAGAACTTCTGACTCGGTCCCACCGTTGTTTTTCAGCTTTCCAAAGCTCTCTGGAACGCTCAGCACCATTACCCTTCTCTACATATTCACGCAATAGCATTTTCTAATCTAGCCTTAACGAGACAAAGACCAGTGTGATGGACCTTTATACCAGGAGACTTTTAGTAAATCCTATGGTAAACATAACTTGTTGTCTTTTCATCTTTCCCACTTTAGCACTATCTGTGATGGTTAAACTTCATTGTCAACTTCATTGGATCGTAAGACTCATGGAAAGGTGACTGGATCACAAGGACAACATACTCATCTGTGGATTGGTTGCATGTGCTGTCAGGAGGGATCCAGGTGGGAGCGGGCTGTTAGGGGGTCTCTTTCTTGTTGGCACCCTGCTTCCCAGCCCCGGTGAAACAAGAAGCTTTGCTCCCCTGTGCCCTTCTGCCATGACACCTCTGCCTGACAGCCCTACAACCACGGACTGAAGCCTCTGAAACAGTCACATTAGACTTCTCCTCCTTAAGCTGTAGGTTGTTTTGTCCAGTAATATGACAGCTTACTAATATACCACTTTAACCTGTACATAATGATTAACTGTATTCCTTGGCGAGAATGACTTCGGGCAAGTTTCACGGAGGCTAAACGGTTCTGAATGCCCTACCTCTCCACCTAGGCTTTAAAATCCTTCCTGTAATTAATTATCCAACTCAAAACCATTTCTTCCTTATAGCCTCCTGGATCATAAATATCAGGTACCCCCTTCTGATTCAACACTAATTCCTCTTCTGTTTTTTCACATTGTTTTAACTGACAAATGTGTTGATCAAATTGCCTTCTATAACTGATGTTGAAAATTCTGCCCCTCTATCTCCTCATCAAGTAGGCTCAATTTAATTGACTTTTTTTAATTCTAGAGGAGAACATGTCTAATGCAGCTGTTGATTTTTGGTTAGCAAACTTTGGGTTTGCAAAGTTCCAACTTACAATACAGGAAGATTTGATATGCTTCTTCCAAAGGGTTTTAAAGAACTGCTTTGACTTGATTTAAACAAATTCTGAGAAATAAGTAGAGGAAACAGCATTTTTTGGTCACTCCTTTAATCTTCTGAGGAAGAATGTGCCTTATTTATCTTAATGTACGGTATCTACATAACCCTCAATTAGTCAGCTTAGTAATCCCATTTTTCATGGCTTGTAGAATCAAGAGAAAAATGGGCAACATTTTTCATTCATGTGAAACTGGATCAGATTTTATGAAAAATGCTCTTCTCCAAAGAGCATGAGGTTTTCCAAGTTGAACATCACATATCTTATTTCATACAACATTCATTACAACAAAATGCTTACCTAGCCAAAAATTATGTCCAACTCCTTAAATCACTGTGGTAGTGTTTGTCCTGGGTTATAAAAAGAACCCCAGAAGAGAGGGAAGCTGGGTGGCCTGTTACCTGTGTTGGTCGTGACTTCCAAGGGCTCACTGAAGTCTCCATAGCCAGCTGCTGTCCGGGCTCGCACATGGAAAACATAGGAAGTCAGAGGGTTCAGACCCTTGATGTCTGTGTTCCTGGCTGCTGTCCGAACTATACGGTAGCTTCGTTCATTCTGATCCTATGTCATGGGAAGGAAAACGGGAGAAGGCAGCAAAATGAATCCTCTGCTGACATGAAAGGAACCAGCGCAGTATGTCCAGGAATTGGAAGGAAACAGCCTGATCAACCCTCTAAACTTTATCTTTACGTCAGTGTTGTAAACCCCGTCGTGGCATCTTCAACTCTGGAAGAAATGGGCAGCTCAGGTCTGACTGTCCATGGAAACCATTGTATCCAGATCTTTACTCATGTTATTTTTTAAAGATCATTAAATGATCTGATGTCTTTTCTAGCAGCACACCCAGTAATTTAAAAGAAGTAACTGTGAGATGGTCCCTTGTCTTTTTCTATTTTCTATCTAGAAAAGCAAAAAATATTGTAGTCTGATTTCAATTAAAAAAAAAAAAAAGTCCCTTTTCTGCCTTAATAAGGAAGCCAACAAGTGATTATTTTTAAAAAGAAAGACAATTGTTCATTTTCTAGACAGCCTTGAATGCAAATAGTGCTCTTCAGAATTCAATTCTTTAAGAGGCAAGTTATATATATAAAAAATAATGCCTTCTATAACTTTAAGAGGCTGAAGAATGTAATTTTCCTTCCTGGATTTTTTTATTAAAAGTCATCAAAACCTACACCTTTGTTCTGCATAGCAGTGATCTACTTAAACAGATCATGACTGCAGCTGTTATGAGTCACACTCTCTGACAGAAGGTTGGTAAATTAGGATTTCTTAGCTGTCTTGATTTCCATTATTAGAATATATATACAACATACACATACACACACACACACACACACATGAACATGGTACATATTTTTTCTATTTTTCAAGATAACCAACTAAATTATAAATTTCACATCAGATTTCATTAGGAAGTAAGATGCATTTACTTGAGGGTTCTCTGATGTTCCATGCTCCAGAGCTGGCCAACATCTGAACAGAAGGTTCAAAGCAGATGGGCCTAGTGGCCCAGGTCTATATTCCTAGTGCTCTGGGAGGCCAACACAAGAGGATTTAAAATTTGACCCCAGCCTGGACAACCTAGTGAAACCTTGCCTCAAAATTTTAAAAATTAATTTTTTAAAAAAATTAATTTTTTTTAAAGCTCAGTGTAAGTGCCATGGGTTTAATAAGCCACTCCAGTTACCCTGTACTGTGGCAAAAAGAAAAGAAAGGAAGGAGAGAAGGAAGGAAGGAAGGCAGGTTGCTCTTTCAAGTGATACCTTTTCATAATACTTGACTTCATACTCCAGGATAACCCCATTGGGCCGATCTGGTTCCAACCAAGCCAGAGCCACGCTGTATCTGGTTACTTCTTTGGCCTGAACCAAAGCAATTGATGATGGTGCTATTGAGAAAAAGAAAGAAAAAAAGACCTTTAATTTTAGGGGGAAAACAAGTTTTGGGTGAGATCAGTAATTTCTTGTCCTGCTGAAGAATATCATGTAGACTTATTTAGTTTTCCTCTTAACTATTTCTCTCTTCTCTAGTTAAAAAAATCCTTTTATCATTCCGTAAAAGATTTATATGGTTTCTTTTAATAGGACCATCTCAGAAGTAAAGGCTTAGGACATTCACAGGGCTCTTCCTCACCCAAAGTAGCAGTATGAAAGACATTGTGTGGCTTTTGACCTTCTGCAAGCCATGAAAGCCTTTGGAACACTTCCCTTGAAGCTCAGTAAGTTTCCTCTCATCCACCGCCAAGATTTCTAAGTGTCATCTTCTTGATATTTAATTTTACACTAGCAAGAGAATTTGCAACTCTTCCCAAGTACTGCAGGGAATGCCAGAAGGCAAACAATTTACATACTTCCCAATATAAATAAGAGTACTGCTTAATTACAGCAAGAATTTTAACTTTACAACCATGCAAATAGTGAAGAACACAAATAAAGCATGATGGTCTCCCTGGACATAAATGGTATTTGCAACTATTTTACAAGAGTTGAAATAAGGTTTTTGTCTGCTGAGTAGCAAACCTTCCTTCTTCAACTGACACAAAAGCAGCCATCTGCTAGACGTGTTACCAGGAGTGGGAAGGAAGGCCAACTTGGAGATTTGTCAAAGCAGGCTGCTGTGTTTGCTTCTTCTCTGTGGTGGTCAAGTTTATATCTAGATATTTATATGATTTATGTCTAGATGCTTCCTCGAAGCCTCGTACACCCATAGGTGGCACGTTGGGAGGTAACGGTCATGGGTGTACAATACACACCAGTGGATTAGCCCATGGGTGGGCTTAGAGCTCAACATGATGTTGGAAGGTGAAGCCTGATTGGAGGAGGTGGGCCACTGTGTGGCCTGGAAGGGGTCTATTTCCTTTTGACATCCCTTGACATCTCTTTCTTTCTTGTCTGCCATGCCATGGATTGTTTCTCCTCTGCAGCGCCTTCCATCAGGCTGCCCTACCTTGCAGCAGTCCACTACAGATCGAAACCTCTACAAACTGTGAGCAAAGAGCAAAGAGTAAGCCTTTTTTCTTTTAAACTGTGGGTGTCAGGATTGTGTCCCAGCAAAACACGGTTGCATCTCCTGCCACCTGTTAACAAGCCACTGCTGGTAGCTGTACCGAGTGTGCAGTCTCCGAGCAAAGGAGCGAACATTCACAGACCCCTTCATCTTATCTAACGCAACAGGCCCAGAACCTCAGAGATCAGGTGGACAGTAAAAATACAGAACAAAGAACTAATATCGGGTCATCTTCATGCCTTTGCCCAATGGATACACAATTGATAACCCATAATTAAGAGGGAAGAGTAGGAAAAAGTAAAATAAATTCTGGCAATGGAACAGGAAAATTTTCAAACTACCTTGGCCATATCTGGTAAATATATTTGTGGCAGGATATTCAACTGGCCACATGACAGTCAGAGTCCAAAGGGAAGACAGTACAGAGACTGTCTCCTGGAGGTTATTTGACAGCTTGGTATTTCTGTTAGGGATGTTTTTGAATGATAACACACACTCTTTTCTATCTGTCTCTCAATCCCAAAGCTATTCCAGATTGGGTTGCAGACATAAATACAAGTGAAAGATACAGTGGGTACACATGTTCTCCATCAAATGCAGCTCCGAGGTTAGTTAATGCTAAGCTAGATGAACAAAGCTGCATGCAGCAGACATATGGAAGCCACTGAACATCTGAGGAAAATGAAAACCGGAAATGTGCTCATTAGCTGCATTAAGGCCCCTCCCCCAACACACACACACACACACACACACACACACACACACACGCACGCACGCACGCAGGCATCTTTTTTTCTCTTTATTGGTTGACGCAGAGCCATCATCCTGCAAACTCCAAGGAGAAGCTTTCTTAAATCCAAAGGTAGCCAGGAGACTACAAAGGCTGCCTGACTGTGAAAAGCCATTTCACTCCAGGTAATAAATATATCACCTCACAGAGCACTTTAGCATATACTTCATAAAGAAGGGCTCTTTAAAATCCAATGTTCAGGATCGGGAAATGAAATAGAACAGTGAAGCTGTTAGAAACAAGCAGGAGGGAGGAAAAGCATAAAATTATAAAATGAACTTTCTCTTACAAATGGTCTGGGTGTGATTCTGATCACTGGCAGATTCCTCAGGGTTAGGGTTGCCTACCTGTTCTCCGAGGGCACCGATGAACTAAGACAGTTTTTCTCTGGTTGGGTTAATCACTAAACTGTTGCATGTGGGAAATGAAACCAATTTCTATTCCAGAAGTTTAAGCAGCGGTGCTCTGGTGGCCATTCAAAACGAATATGAGCTCAGCCAAGGTACTCAAAAACCTCAGAGAGTCAGCAATAAAATACGATCATGTGGGCTAATAGATGATTTCTATTCAGTCCTACTTGGAAAATTGATCTGAAAATAAATGAACAGAGTGTACCTTGACTCAGGTGTCACTAAAAAGCAGGAAAATGAAAGGTTTATGAAAAAAAAAATGTAAGTGAGAAAAGCAAGAAAGATTGGATGAAAGTAGGTCAGGATGGGGGACAGGCAGAAAACCAGAGTTCACATTTATATTCAGTACCAACTAGAGATGTAAGCAGGAGAAAGAAAGAAGCCTCACTAGTTCTGATTTTCAAGAAGTGTTACATCATGTAGCTCAAATCTGAAGTCCTTGGGCCAATGTTCTTCCAAAGAGCATGACACATAAAGGGACAGTGACAAAAGCAATCCACTGCCAAGTGACACTGGGAAACACCTAACACATGCAACTGCGTTGTTGGACAATGGCGGTACAGGTTCTCTTCCTTAAAGAAGAACTTGGAACTTTCTGTGAATACAAGTTTGAGAAAAGCGGAGTTTTGTGACACTGCCACCTTGGAAACTGGCAACCTGGATGCCCTTCATATCACAAGCCACAAAGGAGCTCTTCCCTCGCCTTTTCCTACCGTTTGCAATAAAGCCTCCATCAGCTCTCCATCTGGAAGCCATCACCCTGCCCATGTGCCTGCCTGAAGTTCATTTTCTTAGATGAAGCATTTGGGAATGGAATTTCCCAGTCTTTTCCCACCCTAGTGGTTCCCATGCCTGGATCATCTCATGCCACCCATTTGCTGCCACATCCCTCTGCAACTTGTATTATGATTAAAGTAATATTTTTCCAAAGTAGACACACTATTTTAAACTTATCTCTGGGAAGAAACATGCCATTGACTGGTATAAATTAAGCCCCATTATCACTTCCAATTAGTGGCAGGTTACCATAACAATAGATTCAATAAGTAAATGAAAAATGTTATTCATGTTTGTTGGGCATCCTTGCCCTTCAGGCTTTGTTAATAAGAGAGATAAATCGGTGTTAGAAATGCATTAACTATATCCAGGCACTGTCCTGGGACTGACAGTTAAATTCTCAAAAGTACTGAGAGAGAATAAAAAAGGAACTAAATTTCACACAATATGCTTCAATATCATGTTGCATCCTGACTGATTCTCCCCTAAAATCATCTCAGATACTACCCCTGCTGTGTTTCCCTACTTTGATAAACAATGATAAGTTCTATACTATTTAGAAATACTTTTGATCCTGAGTCCCAATATCCCAGGGCTTTACCTTTTGGTAACAGAAATACATGAAAAGATAATCAAATATGTAACAGATCAAACACCCCCATCCTGTATCAACTGACAAAACAATGTGTTAGTTCCAAAGAAGGTTTCCAGTTACGGTGGGAATTTTGGTTAACATAAAAAGATCAAAAAGCAGGAAGGTTCTCAGTGACCTCTCAGTTGTAATTCAGCCTCAAATCTTGCAGAGATAGGACTCTTTCTCTGTACTGACTTATCTACTAAGCACAAAGATGGGAGACAAAGATTGGGAATGGCCTATGGAGGACTGGGCAGAATGCAATCATTCCTATTAAAGGAAGTTGTTCTTTAGCCTCTTCTTAACTGAAGAAAAGGGAAAAGATACTTTCTAATGTCAACTTGAGGACTCATTTTTCTAGAATTTAAGAGGACAAGTTCTTCCTGGCCATGTGGAAGAGTGTGAGGGTTCTTTGTCACTGTGTCCTATCTACAGACGCATTACGTTTGCTGAAGAGTCAGAGGTGAGGCAGGAGGAAGCTGGGGACCGATGTCCACATCCTTACTGAAAAAGATGCATCATAGGTTGAGCAGCATTCCGATCTACCCACAGACATCCTTCATAAAGGAAGTGGTTGTTTTAAGGAAAGTGGCACTGCCTCTGGACAAAAGTGAGCATTGTCTGCTGGTTAGAATTTAGACACTGCACCCAGCAAGGCGGGCTGGTCATGCCAGTTGACAGTAGCTAGAGAAAGATAATGAGTGTACAAGTCACACAGGCAAGAGCAATGCAAGGCTGGCTTTTAAAGAAAGATTTATGATTTAGTTCAGCCAAGTCTATAATTTTCACATTCTGGCAGGAGACTTTCCAGTAACCAATAGATGTCAGTTTTCCTGTTCTGTGATGCTATTCCTGAGACCATCTGATCTTCTTATTCTTTAGAGGATTTCAGGAGTTTATAATCTAAAATATATCCTTCTTTTTCCTTTTCACTTACAAATCATGCTGACATATTCTTTCAAACATTCAGCACGTATTGCTAAGCCTTTAAGAAACCTACAATCTGAAGTAAAGCAAAAAAGACAATTTGTGTCTATAAAATGCCAAACGTTAGTTGGCTGAAGAAAGGTAATGTCTGGGGACTGGAAGCTGGAATAAAGAAGGGAGCATGGTAGCGTGCAAAAAACACCAGGGGAGGATTTGGAGTAAGGATGGGGGAAAGATGGACGAGAAAACGCACAGCTGAAATCTGACTGGACTTGCTGCTATGTGGGAAAAGTGGTCCTCTAGGATGTGGGAAATGAAGAAAAGATGAAAAAAATTTAACCCTC